TCACTTTTCTTGACCACTATTCCTAATTTTATGAATAATATAAAATTCTATGATTTTTATAGTATTACAGTGGTAAAATGTCATTCAGTAAAACAGTTCTCACTTAAAGTCAATGACTTTAAGTCAATCTTATAGTTAGATGAGAACTGGAGATGAGCTGCTGTCTCTCTTAGTGCATGGTTGCATGTGAGTGCATGTCCTGTGAGTGCATGTCCTGTGATGGACTAGAGTCCTGTCTGGTTTGTCCTCTGGCTTGTCCTCAGTGCTTCCAGGGAGAGGCCCTAGGCTGCCAATGACCCAGCACTAGCTAAATAGTACATTTTGTGCTGCATTTTATTGTTTATATATAATTCTCAAACGTCCCCTGCTTTAATAATTCCCACATTGGAAAAATTGTAGCTTTTGTTACAGATGCAGCTGCAGTTTGGGCACTGGCTCTTAGCCTTGTTGCAACTCTGTTAACTGCCTCATGCTGCTTCTGAAAGACACATATCTGGGTTCTGAGTGTTAGACCTCTCTTAGAGCTGACACACGCTTCTAATTGGTTTTCAGCCTAATATGACTCATCATTGTAGCTGCATTTCTAATTGTGATTTATTTGCTTTGAATTTATAGGGCTTTTTCATGCACCTTCTCTGTTCATTTGTCTTTCCGCTGTATATCTAATCTTCACAAAAGTTGTGGAGCTTAAGTGAAATTTATTTTGCTTTCCACTAGAGCTTGACTGGGACTGAAAATCTTGGCTTTTACCACCTTGGCATTTGCTACAGAGCTCCCTGTATCCAGGCTGTCACTTCTTTACTAAATGACATTTACTGGGATGTTCTGAGGTTATAAGACTACTAAGAATCTGTTAAATAAAATGAGGGCTATACATTTGCATCCTCAAAGCAATACATAGTGAAAAACAAATGTTCTGTCAACAGCCTATAGTAAACTGCTGTAGTAAAGCTTTATCTTTATAATTTTCCAGTTTATTGTGGCCTGTGATATTCGGAAAATTAATCTTATCAAATTCAAACTCTGATTGAACTTGTCCCACAAACAAATCATTAGCATGTATCATGTATTAGTATGGGTCATCTAAAAGGTAAATTGAATAAACATGAGCTAATATTTAAGATAAGCCTTTATCTTGCTTTAGCATTGTGTCATATAATAAATTGTAACTTGTTGCTCTGCTGTTATAAAGCGGCAAATGGGAACCAGTTTATACAAGTAGGATGGATTGTGGATTGAATGTTCGAAGTTTATACAAGCTAGTTTCGATTTGCCAGGATTCTGATTTTCAGTCACAAAAATGAAACACTTTAACACTGGTCTACCTTTAAGCCTTTTTTAAAAGGGAATTTCTTTACCCTATACCAGGTTAGTAGTCAATCATATATGGTATATTGGCTAAACAGATATGGTGGACCGGAATGCACAAATGCAGTAACCCACTCATATTAAAGAAAACTGACTCTCTATATAAACTGAATCCCATTCATGCTAGTTTCAAGGTAAAAGCAGAAATATGTCTTTGGACGAATGCTATTGGATGGGGTTTAGTGCTGGACATTTGAGATCAGTCCTGAGCCATCCGTGTACATGTCTGTGTAGATTTGCAATACCAGTAATCTGACCTAATGATCTCTCCTGCTGTCTACATAACTAGCTTAAGACTGATTAACATCAATCCTTGGAAAAAAACAATCAACTCAGTTTTGAGTTCTGGGGCTGTGTGTTGCCGTGGGAACAAACGGCCAAGCAACAGAGGGATTGCCTGTAGATACTTATGGCTCATTAGCTGCTGGTCTTCATTTTGCATCTCAATTATTGAAAATCCTCTCAGGACTTTTAATGTATCTGTCTGAAGTAATACAAGGCAGTACACTGTGCTGGTTTCAAGCAATAGGTATGTTACAAGGAGAGGAATTCTTCTTATGCTTGAGTGAATTCTTGGAATTTCTGGAAAAAAATGGAGTATTATTGATATGTCACACAGATTTAAGGAGTGCAGACAGATACACAATAATCTTCCTGAAAAACAGTTGTTTCATACATCAATGTGTTCCTTGGGTTCGGGTACACAGAACCACTCATAAAACATTAATATTTGGAGTGAAATTGAATCTACACAGATTAAGTCACCTCGCAATGGCATGATTGTAAATCTACTTTTTGACCAAGAGAACCAAATAAAGAATTGTAATTGGAAACTTGCTGGTGCAATATAATAATAATTATATATTTTTTTTAAATCAAGGCTCTATTATATGTATTTATGTACACGTCCTAAGATTGGCTCTAGACGCACAGTAACCCTGTACTAGATAAGAGGATAAATGGTTATTTTAGATGGATGACATATCAATTCATTCTTGCATGACTTGTCATCTTCAAAATATGCTATAAACCTTATTTATGTAAAACTGTATTGTAGTGATGTGTTGCGTAACAAAAGTGAGGGGATCTATTTCTGCTTCATTCTAATTTGCACAAAATCAGTACCTGCCAATCAATCAGCGCTGGTCGAAATATTTGTTCTGGTGTATGTCAGTATATTTATATTAACTTATCTGACACTATAATCTAAAGCAACTTAAAGCAGAGGGAAAGGTTGCAGTTTGCTTAAGCTCCCTGGGAATTTAACCCATGACCTATTAGTTGTTAGTCCAGTGCTCAACACATCGAGCTGCAGGAGCTCAAGAACTGTGTGTGCTTTGTATGTATGAGTGTGTGTGTGTGTATGTATATATATATATATATATATATATATATATATATATAGACAAAACCCTAATCCCAACCATGACAGCCATAACCTGCTGTTTTTATGTTTTTTGATTGTTTTGATGGAGATACAGAAATTAGTTCCCTCAGCCTGTCTGAAGGCTGATTTAGACTGATAATGTTTATGATGTGATTATTGATCCCGGGGTAATGAAAAATATGCTGCATTACAGTGTCATCTGTTACATCTTCATGAAATTGTGCTTCTGATCATGATAGATTATAGTTTATTTTATGGAAACAGAGATTAAACAGGAAACACATTTAATCATACATGAGAAGGGGGTTACAGAGAGTGAAAAATAGACTTGGAATTTATTGCAGGCGAATCAGAGTAGGAAAGGAGCACGTCGGTTTATTTTAGTGAGGGTTTGGCAGAGCGTCCAAGAAAAAAAACAACTGGGTATTAGTTAGCCTTGTTCAGGGTGATGCCCCCTCTGACCTTATTGCATTCATACATACATCTGTTTGCCTTCATATTTTTGGACACTATGCTGAAGACACAAAAAACATTTTTTTTGGTGAAAAGAAAATATCACAAAGCAGACCCAAGATGGCAAGGTGCCATCGGCAGTCATATTTTCATCTCTTTTTCCTACAGTTTGATGTTCAAGAGAAGAGGACTGCTTGCACACTTCGCAGTGTGGTGTGGGATAGGGTACAGCATCCTTGGGATGCCATTCATTCTATAACTAGTTTTTAATCCAGATTTGGGTAGTTTTTCTTTTTCCTTTTTACTAGGCCTGGGCAATTAATCAAATTTTAATTACAATAAAAATTTTGGCTTCCAACGATTATCAAAACAAAATAACAGATAAACGATTATTGCCTCACATTTCGTTTTGCAGCAATGCTTGTTTTGTCTTGAATTATAGATGCAGCGTACTCCTTTCCAGAGCCATTATTCTTTGTTTCTCAGTTGAATTAAAGTTCAAGGAAAACCACTGTTAAGAAGAAAAGTTTTTCCTCTTAAGTTCAATAAATTCATACTATTTACAAAGTCAGTGAGTAGTCATGTTAAATAATTGTGATCTTAGTATTGACCAAAATAATCGTGATTATGATTTTTGTCATAATCAAGGAGCCCTACTTTATACGGTTGAGTCATCTGGCCAGAGTGATGCTCTGGTACTGAGATGCTGGTGATCTGGATAGAAAAAAAGGGGGAAAAAACACAGATTGGTCCTATTCAGAGAATCTTTTCTGTCTGCTATCTATTTTCTGCAATTTGGGTCAGTGATGCATAATTATTCTGAAATAGAAACATATTCATTTTGTGAATGCATATGTACTGCATCTCTAATAAGTTCCTTGTGACTGTAGGGGGATTAAATTAATTATTGCAGCTATTTTGTGATTATCCACCTGTTAGCCTGTCATAAGCTGGAAAGTTTACCTGCAAACTGTTACTGATGGCCGGCTGATTTATGGTCACTTTTCGTTAATGACCGTTGGGCGTTAATAATAAAATCAATATTTCACAAAAAAGCATTGACAGATTTGTATTTTAGCAGATTTGTGGGAACAAAATGTTGTTTACATATCTGCATAACTTCAGGCACAGTACAACAGATGTCTAAATTGACCACTGTTCATCTTTAAATGCACAAATTTGACTTGGCTCCAAAATTGATTTCAAAATCCAGTATTCTGCAATAATCAGCTTTCTTCATTTAAGGAAAAAAAAAAGATTTTTGAAAAATTATTATATTAGCGAGAATCATTTCTGCCTAAATTGCAATTCAACTATATAACTGTTTTCCTCCGTGTCTGCTGTGGAATTTTGTATGGTGTTGTGAAGTGTAACTTGGTATGTACTACTACTGTTTTGCTCCCCAAAGTAGTAATACAGTCCAACAGAGACTTTGACAGTAGATAGATAGAGGTCTATCTATCTATCTATCTATCTATCTATCTATCTATCTATCTATCTATCTATCTATCTATCTATCTATCTATCTATCTATATAATACATTTTATTACATTGGACCTAATATACAGGCGATGCTCAAGTCAACAGCCTTTTTGAAGCTGTTTGTAATCTAGGTATGTCTCAAAAGTAGATGATATTCCTGGTTTTCATTCATATAAGAACATTGACCCAATGGTTCCTCTGTCTAGAGCCTCCTGCAAGAGTTTGTGTGGGAGAAGCACAGCAGCTCGCAGTAGAAGCCAGGGGAGGTTCGCTTAACTCAAAGTCTATTTTTTTCTTCCCTTTATCCAGTTGATAAGTGGAGGTTCAATCGTCAGTGCCGAGGCAGTATGGGATCACGTCACCATGGCCGACCGGGAGTTGGCTTTTAAGGCAGGGGACGTCATTAAAGTCCTTGATGCCTCCAACAAAGACTGGTGGTGGGGACAAATCGACGACGAGGAAGGATGGTTTCCTGCAAGCTTCGTGAGGGTGAGCGCCATTTTTAAACGATTTACACGTCGGTAGTTTCATAACGATTCCTCACAAAAGAATGCAATTATTTTCATTGCAGTGGCTCATGTTCATTCATTTCTCGTCTTTATTGGGAACATGCCCTCCCACTGCGTGCGGCAAGGCTTTTTTTAAATGCAAAATCAAGGAAGGGAAGAAGAAACACCTTTTGAAGGCATATGACTAAAAAAAATCCTCAAGTGACATGAAATAGCTGAGGGTCTGGCAGCTTACTTAAAACAGCATGCCTGTTTCTGCACTGCCTGACCTACATGTGACGAACCCTGAAAAGCCAGGCTTCTTTTCGTGATTTCTGACACTTTTATCGCAGATAAGTTTGCTTTTTAATTAAAAAAAGAAAAGTCCAGGCTTGCAATTTGTCTTTGAATTATGTAAATACAACATTAACAATTTTCTAATTTTTTTACAAACCAAATGCAGCTGGAAGTTTGCTTAAAAATCTGTTTAAACACTGTCCTCGGGCAGTGAAATGGACGTTATCTTTAGCTACATGTTCAGGCCGAAATGAATATAGCCACAATTACCCTTCTTGAAATTTCTCATTTGGATGGGATGAGGGTTTACAGTTTTTTTTTCCTTTTCCATTTTCCATTTCCATTTTCATAGGAATTATCTTCCATGGTGGATACTGCACCAGAATCAGTGTATTTTTGTTGTTCTTTTCAAAGGTTGAACCTCACCCTCCACAACCTCAAACAAAACCAGTTTTCTATATCAACTCTATAGCAACTCCAAGGTTCCAAAACACAGCTTCCAAGGTGCGTTCTTTAGCTCATAAACCATTGAGTCCCTCCCAGTCTAAGCAGCTGTTTCACTGGTACATCAAATTTTTCCATTGCTTTGCCATAACCACAACTCATGTGTCATTCTGCAGCTCAAGCAAGATCATACGGCCTTTCGTTTTATCAGTCAGATATCCAAATGTTAACATTTTAGCAAATTTATAACATTTCTCACACGCGTTTGGAGGAAGACAGTGAAATTCGGATGTCACACTTGCAGGGGAGGGGACGAGTGAATGGGGTAATAGGACAGACACCGCAAGACAAGACAGTACAATACAGGAAAAAGTAAATATAACAAATAAGTAATAAATAGGAATGCAATGTGGGAGATTGACATTGGTAGAGTATATAATATTGATAAAATGCGCAAGTGGTATATTAACAATAGTGTGCAATACAATGCAGTGGGAAGAGATGCAAATCACTGGTTTAGCTACCTGATGGGTAAAGAAATTTCTCTGAAATGGGGGGTGATTTTTAGCCCGTTCTGAATTTGCATGCCAGTTTTGAATTAAGGATTAACACTATATATTTCCGAGATGGCCACCAACAGTGGGGATGCATTGCTCTTTTGGTCTGTGGATTTACATGACAGGAAGCTTGCAGCCTGCTTTGACTAAACTCAGTGATTAATTATGGATTTTCAGTAGACACGCTTGAGACTTTTTGAATGTATTTGTATTCATAATGTTTTTTTGTACTGTTTGCTAACATATAGTTATATTTGATATTGCTCTTATATGATAAGTGCTGGAGAGTAGTGTCCTTCTTCGGTAAGTCGCAAATCTAGTCGTGAAATTGTTACATATGCCCTATTTAATATTTCACATCCAGTTTTTTTCTGGGAAAAATCTTTTTAGCCCTGTGATTTAAGGGGTTTGTCTTTAATATGATTTTTTTATTATTCTAATATCTTATTTCACAAAAACACTGTTTTATATTCATTGATCAAGAATTTACTCGGGAGAAATAATCTTCTAAGTAACCGGTTGTTTCTATGATTTTCTAGACATATGAAAAAGACTGATTTGTGACTTGATATGACCATATCTCAGTTGCCTTAACAAATATATGTAGGTTCACATTTATAAGGAAGAAAATTTATTTATCTGTGCAAATACTAGGGCCGTTGTTGGTTTTTGATGAGGAGGTAACTTTTGTTCTTCCGTGTTGTCTAAGGAATAACACCTGACTGTGTGATATTCTCAGTTAAGAGCAGAAAAGCTGCACAAGACAGCATTTCTAATTCTAGATTCCTTTTGTGCTTCTGCAGCTGTAATGTTTCAATCTGTTGTCATCTGTCAAGCAGTGATGAAGTCCACTCTGTCTTTTAGGGCTTCACCTACATTCTTAAAAATTTAGAGGAAAACTAGATTTATTGTAGAATTTGTAAATATTTCTTTGTTTCTTGTCAATATGATTATTTTTTATCTATGGGTTTTGATTTTCACATTACATCAGTGTCAATGTCAGTGTTATTTGCTATATTTTGTTTGTAGTCAGTGAATGGTTTTGTTTAATCTTTGGTGAAGTATCACACTTTTCCAAATGTTATTAAAATTAGAAAATGTATTGTTGTTGTTTTTTTTTTTCCTATAAAGATTTTATAACAAAAAAATGTGTATTTTGTGCAAAGGCAAACTTTACACCAATCAGGGCCCGGTTTCTCGAAACCTTCGTAATGCTACATCGTTCATAAGTTCTACGTTAAACGATAGGACTTAAAAACGACATAGTGTCAAGAAGGCTTCGAGAAACTCACCCCTGCTCAGTTTCCCAATTCTTCTTGGTATGACTATTGTGTCCAAAATCACAAAATATAAAAAAATAAACAAACAAATAAATGCTGAATAATGCATGCTAATCTGTATCACTAATAAATAAATAAATAAATCCTGGCCGCTAAAACTTGGCAAACAATCCCTGGCAGGGTTTTGCTGTCCTATAACATCTTTAATTTTTTATGAGGCATAAACGGCAAGCATGCAGTCTATATATTTTTTATTTAAATGCCTCTTACAAGCTGGGGTTTATTTTTATGTAGTCTGTACTCTATAAGCTTATACTTGCATTTAAGGTCTGACATTGGCTGTGATCATAATTATATACGACTTTGTTTCATGGTGGAGTCAAGCAGAGGTGTTGACAGCAGCCTGTGAGTCTTCATGACCCCCTTGTTCGTGCCTCTTGATGTCGCCAGCTATGGGTGAACCAGGACGATGGTAGCGTGGAGCCAGCGGAGGGCACCAGCGAGGTACAGAATGGCCACCTGGACCCGAGCAGCGACTGCTTGTGTTTGGGCCGGCCACTTCAAAACCGGGACCAGATGAGGGCGAACGTCATCAACGAAATAATGAGCACAGAAAGACACTATATAAAGCACCTTAAGGACATCTGTGAGGTGAGTTTGCTTCATTTCATACAATTTTATCACTGTTGTTTGTCATCACTCTGTGGATGCTTTGAATGTTAAATCAGAATCAGCTAGATCCATCACAATGCAATTTATCTAGCTATTGGATCCTTCAATAGCTGGGTACTAGTTATGTGAAAAGAAGCAAATTTATCCTTTCAGCTGAGAAGCTTGGTTTTATAAATGGGCTGGGAGTGGTCCACGTTTATATTAAAAATAACTGATAATGACAAAACTCAGTGGAAGGATATGACAACTGGCCTGTCAGAATCTGACAGGCCTACAGTCATCTGCACAGAGATGTTTTCACACATACTGGAGCAGTCTGAATGGTGAGCTGAATCGAGGTCTGGCTCACATCCTTTTCAGATGTACATCTGCATGTGATGTTTGTGCTGGCCCTGTGCTGATTGCCAGAGGTGAACCGAAAGCTTGTGAAAGGGCCAAATAGAATAAGATAAGAAAAGAAATATTTATATTTAAATATATATAGTTTATTGATCACAGGGGGCAATTTTTGTGCATACAGAAGCAAAGAATGTAAAATGCTGACAAACATATTTTGCAAAACAGTGAAACAAAACAGTGCAAACGTGCAAACAAAGTTCAAGCAAATAAAAAAAACATACATGGTACACTAACTGAACATTCGAAATGAATGGAAAGTCCCCACAAAGATATAATTACAAACGTGTGTGTGTGTGTGTGTGTATGTGTGTGTGTGTGTGTGTGGATTATGTTTATATTACATTGTAGGGACCGAATGTTCCACACAATTTAATGAAAACCTTACCATTTATCAGGTTCGCACAAAGATCTCTGAATGCAATAAAAAAAAAACTAAAAATGCTAAAAGTGTCGTATTCTGTTAGGTTACTTATGGTCAAGGTTAGGGCTGGGTAGGGGTTAAGGTCGTTACGTTCGGATTGGAGTTCTCCCCATAGAAATGAATGCAGAGTCCCCACAAAGATAAAATGACAAACCTGTGTGTGTGTGTGAGTGTGTGCAATTAAAAGGTAAAACTATCTGTAAGACATTGCAAGAAAAAAGTTCCTTGAGGACATAGCTATAGGAAGTATATTAGAGTTTTCCCTACTTTTCTTGCATTTTTATCTGAATAGATCCACCCACCATACGCTAGCAAGTTTGGTGCGATCAGCACAAATTTTATTGCCCCCGCATAAGACAATTTTAGCCCAAAGTTCTTTTCTACATGGTTTGCATGTAATACCTGTTTTCCACTCCTCATATTTGTTTTATATAGGGTACAGTAAACACAGAATGGTCTTTTCTGAGGCTGCAGTTTCCACATTGTGATCTGCAGTGAGTCATTAGCCAGTGCTGCTTCGGAAAAGGAAATATCACTGAAATGTGTTTTCTGCTGTGACTGCTGCCTTTTCATAGCAGCCGAGGCAATACGGCAGAAAGGACGCGTGACTAATGGTGGCTGTTTTAAAGCAGATGTTGTTTTCTGGGGTATTTCAAGAGGCATTTTTTTTTTACTCAACACTGAATAGATTTGCAGCACCGATTTGTTCGACCAAAGAGATATTCCAGGGTAAAATGATCAGATTTGCTATAATTTTCGCAATTTTTGTGATTATACAATGATCAAGTTCATATGAATATTCAAGGAGAATTATTGTTAGCAGAAGGGACTGTTCCTGCAGATATTTGAGATGCTAATTGTGGCAGGTAAGGTGGGTAATCTCTCTCTGCTCCTAGCTGATTGTTGATGTCGTCGGCCCCACCAAATTGCCTCAGTCATCGGGGATTGTGTTATATTTTGCTGTCAGTTATTTTTAATACGCTGCTGCTTCATGTTTAACTGCGCTGCTAGCTGCGAGAGGAGAAAACTTTTACTTTGCGTCTTGATAGCATCTCGCCTGAGTCAGACATTTGCATAAGTGTGCAGCCTGTCCTTTCACAGGGTCAGGTATATACTAGAAAATTCCCTGAAAGATGATGCCGCGCTCCTAAGGAAAAAAAAACACGCAAAAATCATTATTAAAGATGAAGAACATGCCATCGTTACAGCCTGCGTTTTCCTCTTCGAGCTGAATTCCAAAAGAAATGATGTGCTAAGCCATTATGTCGAGCTGTAAGTTATGTACTCACACAGTCTTACATTAAAATATGTATTTCTTTATTTAATATAGCTATTTGCAGTCTTGCAATAAGTAATTAATAATAATATTAAATAAGTTATTGTTTAATAAGCGGCTCTGAAAAATATGTCAATTAGAAGAATAATACTTATTATTTAATCATTCTAAATGAGGGTTTATATATGAATATGCTGTGCTTTACCTTGGATACAGATGTCAGAGAATCTTTAATTCAAGAGAGCCAGCATTGCCCATCATCATGGTTTGTGTCTGTCACCTATCTGAAGTTAAGGTTGAACTGAGCTGAAATCCGTCCTTTCAAAAGATGGTCATTTCTGATCTTAATAGAAACTGAAACATGCAAAAAGTGGGACAGTGATATTTTTCTGGTGTCTTCCTAATATCGAAAATGAACATGCTATTCATTGGGTGGTATGGCAGTGTCTCAGTGGTTAGTGTTGTGACCTTTTACATTCCGGATTGTGGGTTTGAAATTTGTGTTCGGGATTTCTTTGGTTTCTCTGGTTGCCTATAGCTGTCTAAAAGCATGTTCCTATGTGAACTGGTATTGGTTGGTCATGCAGTGTGTGTAGATGCACGTACAGTGATTGGGCTGCTGTCTCCTGCCTTGTGCCTTGGGCTCCAGGCTAATAATAATAACAATAGATAGATAGTTTTATTGACCCACATGGGGAAATTCTCCTTCCACCTCCCCCAACTTGCTTTCAGTAGGTGAGAACTATCTGGCCTCAAGGGGCAGCCACCCATAGCAGCACCCAGGGAGCTGGGGGTTAAGGGCCTTATTCAAGGCTCAGACATGCTGGGACCAGGCTCAAACCAGCAACCTTCCAATCACAGGCACAGAGGCTTTGCCTCCTGAGCCACGCACTGTGACCCAATGCTGGAGAAACAATATAGAAGATGGATGCAACTGCTTTTCTGAAGCTAACTTTAATTCCAAGCGTTTGCACTATATAACTTACCCTTATTTGTATATTTGGTAGCTGATACCTCTCATACTGGATATACTGGTAGCTCTCATACCGGTATTCCGGAGTCCATTTGTATTTGTTACCTGTCACATTGAAATTGCCACCACCTAATCCGTGGTCTTCCCACCAACAGTGAAAGGAATTTCTTTTTTTGTTGAATAAACCAGGGAAAGTGCCATATTTCAAGGCTGTCAAATCCTATAAGGGCAGCGGATCCTGGCGCGGCCAGAAAATCAAGCTCTGATCTGAGGGGAGATCTGGGTGCTCTGTTCAGTTGTCAGCCGACATTGGCCTATCTGACATTGGCCTGTCTGCTGGAAAATAATTGGGTGAGTCCTTTTAGTTGGAGATTCCTCATAAAAGAAGAAGAAGAAAAAATGGTGCTCCAGCATCACCTGAAGTCGGTTCTGTCCTGCTCAGAGCTCCCGATGTGGGGGCTTCCATTTTACACCCAAGCGACCCAAAGGATCATGTTCAATATGACTGAAAATTCATCAGCAAGCAGCGGCTGAAGAATCAGCCCTAACTGGAGCACCAACGGCAGCCTGATTGCCGTCGCAGGGCCATTGTCCCGTGCTGTGTTTTCCTTTGACTTGCAAAGCGTTGATGAAGCGTAACAGGTACATCCCATAGATCAGCTGGAGAATAAATCATCCGCAGAAAGCCTCCCTTCAACCTGCGCTTTTCTCAGTGACTGCTGAGAATATGAAATGTATGAGGACATTGCTGACAATTTTGTAAGATGGAAATAATTGGTCTGCAGCTCCTTGTTCCTTTTTATCACTGCGACAGGAATAATTGGCATATGACAATACTGACTGATAGGTATTTCTTAACTATATAATAAAAAGAAATAAGTAAAAAACTGATTATTTCTGCACCCAGAAGCTGAGTGTCAAGTGGGAGGGGTATTGTTGAGCAGAAGGGGTTTATCACTTGGGGTAGGAGGGGTTTATAATGAGGGTTAGGGTTAGGGTTAGGGTTCCCCTCCTACTCAACATTGCCCCTCCTATTTCACATTGCTCCTCCTACTCAACGTTACCCCTCCTACTCGACATTCGGCTTCTGGCTGCAGGGATACGTCTCTCTCTGTAGTGACAGATCAGTCCGGCAGTGATGGATAGTTACTCTGCAAAAATAAATCAGTTGTAAACTGTATAAACTGTAACAGAATCTTACAGACCTTGTATTAGTCATTTATTCCAATAAAACCTTTGTGACAGCATCCGAAATCGTTGAAATGTAAGCTCCTACGCATACAGTGAGCCAGCGCGAGTGTACTGAATCAGGGAAGGCAGGCCTTTGCGTTGACCTGAGGCGACGCTTTGATGGGTTTGTTAAAATGGCAGGCAGGACGTCAAGGTCAGGCTCTGAGCTCCAGAGGAGTTTCTGTTCCATTAGGAAGTGCACGCACACACACTAACATACAAAGACACTCTATTTCTTATCGGATATATATACAGGTACATAAATATACTGTTTAAACCATCATTTTGTTTAGTTACTCATAGACTGTTGATGTGGTGGTGTGAATGGTGTAGCTCACAGGACATTATTCATTATCTACAATCATGTCAAAAATGTTTTTAGTCATTATCTATTGTTCTTTTATATAAAAATCAAATAGATTGTTTCTGGATGGATGGATGTTTTAAGTCTTGTCATTGCAAATGTATCTACTCAGACGAGACCTGTGAATTTATATATATTACCAGTTGAAATATTGAGGTGGAATGTGCAGTTTTAGAGGAAACAGTATTTATTATATTGCATTTGTCCTGTACTGGATAAGCTGGATGGAATATTTTTTTCATATCCATAAATGAAGGTCACTTCCAAAACCAAGATGCCACAACATAAATACAGGTATTTCAGTTAAGAAAAACGGTGATAATTTCATCGGTCATTAATCTCTCAACCGTTTATCATGTAAAGGATTGGGCACAAGTCAGACAGAACATGCAAATTCCACACACATAACTTAGAGGTCAGACTGTACCCCCCCCCCCCCCCCAACCTTGGAGGTGTGAGGTAACAGTGTGTAACAAATAAAGGCAAGAAGGAAACTAAGTATATTAAAAAAAAACATACCTTTGGGAGATTCTTAATGAAATTTCAGTGGAAAAAACATGCCAGAAAAATGCATTTTTTTTCTAACTTAATTCTCCTTGTTTTAGGGTTATTTGCGACAATGTAAAAAGAGGAGAGACATGTTCAATGAAGACCAGGTGAAAGTCATATTTGGAAACATAGAAGACATCTACAGATTCCAGATGGGTTTTGTTCGGGACCTTGAGAAGCAATACAACACAGAGGAGCCTCATCTCAGTGAAATCGGGCCATGCTTTCTAGAACATGTAAGTACTCCACGTTCTGGCCGGCAGTAAAATGTGCTCTGCTTTCATAATGCACAAATACACTTAAATATGCTGTGGGGTAGCGTAGCTCTCGGCAACATCTAACAGACTCACGGCCGGCTAGCTATTGAGGAACCACATCGGTTTCGAATGCGTCAGGGTTTCAACTATTCTGTTTTATGCTAACCTTTTCGACAAACATTTATTAGTGTGAAATGTAACTTGTAGTAAGTTGTTTAGCATTTGCCAACCAGGTGAGACAAAGAGCAACTCATCTGGATCTGGATGATTGCAAAAAGTTGCCCATTGCAGGTTACAATTTTTCAAATAAAAACTTGCTGTGCGGTATCAGTGGGAAAGTGCCACTGGTCAGTGACATTGCCCGGCAGCGTTGCTCAAAAAGTTGCCCCGTGAATCATCACCTTTACTCTTGGACTAGTCCGTGATGTATGTTTCACCTAAGCTTTTTTGTGTTGGTGCCGGTGCATGCAACTAGAACCAGCAGGCCACTTTGGATTTTCAGATTCTGTAGAGAATGGTGCGATGAACAAAAAGCATGCAGTCAAAAGCTTTTCTGTGGCCAGATACACCTGGTTAATGAGGGAGGTCAGCAGAAAGTGGCTGAGCTTGTTACAGCTAAAAGGAAGGATACAAGTGCAAAAATAACAGCAGAAGTACGGCAGAAAGGGAGCTACAAACGCTCAAGCTGTCGACTCTCAAGGTGGGGATGAGATGCAAAAACGGCTCCTCTGCAGTACTAGCTAGTTGCACCTACTAAAGGGACCACTGAGTGTGTATTTAAAGCTTCTCATGCTTCAGAATTAGGAGTAACATACATAAGTACTTATAAATAAACAGACGCTCCTTTACTTACGAACGAGATACGTTCCGAACGGCTGTTCGCAACTTTAAATGTTCGTAAGTCGTTATTCAACATCATTTTAAGGGTATACACAAGTACTAAGAACTAGGATGCTGGGAGTACGCACGCTATGCTGCTGCGCGGCGGGAATAGCCACCAGAACTCGTACTAGGCAGAACTGGCGCGCAGAAAAAAAATTATGTACCGGCTAGGAAATGGGAGCCCAATGAACACAATTCGGACTTACAGTCCTCTTCGTTCATATGTCTGAAATTTGAAAGTTGAAAGTTCGTAAGTAGAGGAGGGTCTGTATTGCATGTGAAGGATCAGTTTAGCTAAAGTAAATTAAGTGTACAGCAGTATAAACTCATCTGACTAGCTTGTGACTTGTCCCACACTTTCTGGGATCAGGGTATGTTCAGGGTATGTTCAGGGTATGTTGGCTGGTTCATGCTTCACGCTGACACTGCAGTGCCACAGTATGTGCGCTGATTATGAGCCAGAAGTCAGAAAGTAGATTTTGGCCCAAGGATTGTATTTAAACACCTTTTCCACCCTCTGTGATCAGATTAACATAAAGGGCCAGTAGATTTGAAGAAGGGTTGACTGAGAAAGTCTGAAAATACCAGAATTTATATGATTCCTCAGTACAGGATTATAAAGACTCACAGATGGCTACAAACAAATAAATAAAATACATTTCTACATATAAATAAAATAAAACTCATTTGTACTGCAACACCATATACCGGTAAATGTTTTTGTGTCAGTGTTATAGTTTTGATTTTTAAATTTAATTTTTATATTATATGATTATTATTTTATTTTATTTTTATCTGGATTGTGGCGGGTCCAGCACACTGCTGCAAGCCCACTTTCAGATGAGGCATGAACCAGCCCTTAGGCTTATTATAATCTTTTCTATAAACGAGGACTCAGAAGCCACTGATGTATCAAGTACCCAAGAGCAGTTTTGTCCATTAAGGTTTAGAAAATCCTCCAAGATGCGAAGAAATGGCTGGCAATGCATAGCTTTTACTTCCTGCAGAATTCCAGGAAAAGTGCCAATGTCTAAATCAGACTATTTCATTGAATTATAGTACATCATTATTAGTTTTGTTCAGGTTATTTGAATTTCTAGAATCTTGAGATATTTTCTCCCAATGGAGTATTAATGTGTGATGTCTGTGTGTAGACATAAAATAATATAAAAAACATTGCATTATGAAATGTGCTTATTAGAAGACTTAGAAGTACTCGACTGTTTTTTTTTTCTTGTGCAAAGAGCCATGTTGCCACCATGTGGATTTAGGATCCGTAGGACACAATCATTCCACTTATTTTCATTACTGGTTCTGTCTATAGTTTAGCTTTTTGCAACAATGTATGCAGTCAGCTAATGTAATTCGGTGACATGTTGAGGAATATTGACTTCTGCCAAATATCAGCAGACTAAAGCTGCGTGTTCCTCTGTCGACTTGCCGTCCAGTGTGCTGTGATTTATCAGCGCTTTGCTGAGCGATTTAGTTAGTGCTTCTAATCTTTGTCCACTGCCTGTGTATTTTTCACAGTCGCTTAAATTCAGATGAATTGCTATTTGCACTACTTGCCGAGTTTGAGCAGTAAGGTTGACAAAAGGAAATGCCGTGATTTATGAAAGGATGGTCACTGTAAGACTTGCTCCAGGCAGGAGGGTAAATAGAATTATAGAAACTTATTTTGGAGGGTGGAGTGGAGAGGGGTTTATCAAAACCAGTGGGACGGAACATAAACAAAAGGCCGCCATTCAGGGAGGGGATATAAAAAAACAAACAAACAAACAAACAAACAAAATGGCTGTCTGGATACAGAATGTGATCTTGAGGACAAGAAACAGGTGACCAGTCACCTGACCTCACCCCCCCACAGCATGTTCAAAGCCCCCCTCGCACTTTTCCTTAGAATTTAATTTTGTTGTTTTATGGGCCTGTAAGCTGTTTTTAATTTTTTAATAGGATGTAGCTTTTTTTAACCCTTTGACGCCTTTTTCCATTGGACGTGCAGCAAGACGGATTCTGGATATACTCCGAGTACTGCAACAACCACCTGGACGCCTGTATGGAACTGTCCAAGCTGATGAAAGATGGACGCTACCAGCACTTCTTCGAGGCCTGTCGCCTCTTGCAGCAGATGATTGACATCGCCATCGACGGCTTCCTGCTGACGCCCGTGCAGAAGATCTGCAAGTACCCTCTGCAGCTGGCCGAGCTGCTGAAGTACACTGCCCAGGACCACAGGTACGTCCCATCGCCAGTGCTAGCTATTCACCCCCGCAAATGTGAGCCTTCCTTGTCATCAATGAATGCTGTCATCAAAAAGCTTCTATTGATTAGTCCACAAAGCCTCCAGGAGGCCATGAGATGATCCATAAACTCTATGATCTCTGTATGTTTTTAACATGAATATTTAGACACCCTGCAAGTTGACACTGCACTGGTGTATCATGGGGTCACATGGCATCATCTGTTTGAGTGAGGATGGTCTCACTCAGATCGCACTCAGAATCCCTTTGAATTATGCATTGAATTACGTCTTACTGCCTTCAGCTGACTGGTGTGAGTGCTTTCAATGTCCCAAACCATTTCATTTTACGTAAATTCAAACATCAAGGACCTCTTATTTTAGCATATTGAAGCGCTGTATTTTTTCCTTGTTTAACTTTTATACTGCTTTAACATATACTCAGTAAGAAGAAGTATTTTAATTTTATTATGTTTAATATGTTAGTCAAAGTACTTGTACTTAGTACTTAGTACTTGGTGCAGACCATTCATGTAATTAAATTCCTTCTTCTTCTTCTTAATAATAGTAATACTACTAATAATAATTATTATTATCATTATAATTATTATACCATAATGATATTGATTATTGATGATTATTGATAGTCCTTAATACATGTAAACAGTATTTAAAAATTTGATTTATTTAAAGTTCTGACTTATGTGCAATAATTTTCATTGAATGGTTACAGAATCTTAAGTTACAAAGTTTTACCTGTAAATTGTTTTACAGGTGCCTTTGTGTGACTTTATTTTCTTTTAGTTTAACCTTGAAATGTTGCTCTTAATTATTACTATTTATCAAAGAAACATATAGCTTTTAATGGAGGAGTGGGATATTTTACCAGAACTACTGAGATTAAGTGCATTTATGTAATCGCTGACATACCCTGCAGCTTTCGGGATGTTAAGCTGTGACCTGAATGGACGCCCTGCTTCTAATACTTTGGGATAATTAACTGTAAATTGGCCCAGGCATGCCAGTACATTGGCTGGTAATTGCGGAGTAAAAATACCTTTAAAAAATATCAGCAGCATTATAAACCAGCCAGGTTGTTCCACAGTGCCTGTACTGTATATTGTGTGCAGCACAGCTCATATTTAGGGGACTGCCTTCGCTTGCTTTGAAGGAAACATTTTTGCTTAGGGAACAGACAGCATCTATGCTGACAATAATTCTTTCATTGCACTCAGAAAAGCATGGAAATTGAATCTTCCTACCCGCTGAAAAAAGAAATATTTTATCCCACATCAAATTAGCTACCATAACTCACTGTGGCATCCATTTTCTCGAGACAACCAAGTTGTTTTTTTGTTTCCAGTCCTACAGTTTTCATGTTTCAAATATATTTTAGCAAAGTCATTACTTTCAGCTCCCTTGTCTCAAAGATACAGTTTTGATTGCCTTGAGCACAGATCTGCCAACAGCGATTGAAGATGCAACTGTCAACAGCACTCTGAAATTCTTCATTTGAATTTCACTGCTAACTTTAGCAATTCAAATGGCCACCTTCACTGTTAGCTTGTGCTTCTGACTCTCTTGATAAGCGAGCTGATTTTTTTCCTCCTCATGATATGAAGTTATGGATGGCTGGCACTGCTGCCTCTCATCTGCAGGGCTGGAGGTTCTATTCTTGTCTTCGCTCTGTATGTGTGAAGAGTTTGAATGTTCTCATCATATCATGCAGGTTTCCTCTGGGTATTCCGATTTCCTCCTGCTGTCCCTAAATTGTCCATGATTGTGTTTCTAAATTTATGTCCTCTGTGATGCACTAGCATCCCTTCCATGGTGTAACCCAGCCTTGTACCCTGTGCTGCCTGCCGTAGACTCCAGGCCCCCCATAACCCTGATTAGGATAAGTGGCTGGAGGTGTTTCTGGAGGCGGGGCTTTGGGGACACTGGCTCCAGCTGTAAAGTGATTGGCCCACATTCTGTCATTCACCAATTCAATCAATTGGTTAATCATAAGGTTGGTCCCTCTGTAAGAATGATGGCCCCTCTTAGGGTGGGAGAAGGTGAGAGGGTATGCTTTATTGAGCCCAATAAAATCAGTAGCTTTATAAATATCGAAGTATGACGTCGTCTGTATTTTCACCTCATAGCGATTACCGATACGTAGCTGCAGCCTTGGCTGTCATGAGGAACGTCACCCAGCAGATCAACGAGAGGAAAAGAAGGCTGGAGAACATCGATAAGATAGCACAATGGCAGGCATCAGTGCTGGACTGGGAGGTGAGTAGCCACTATATTATGAAAGCGCAAACAGTCATTGTTTTACGCCGCTCTCAGTCTTCATAGCAACAGTTTACACTTACAAAAGAAATACCAGTGAATGGAAACTTACCCCACCAATTTTCTCAAACTGACTTCTCAGGTTAATTGTACTGAAATTATAGCAAATTATGCAAGAATGTAATCAGGTTTAAGTATTCCTTATTATTAGTATTATGCTCTGATTGAGCTGTTAAATGAACATGATGCAAATTACGACTACTTGAAGATTCACGTGTAATAAGGGGAATACGTTTAAAGGCGAAACAAAGAATGAGAATTACCCCTTGAAAGAATACAATCGATGCTCATTATTTTGATTATTCGATAATAACCTTAGGTAAGCGTAGCCCGTCGGAAACAAAGTAAATTGAATAATTTTAAATACGGCGTGACTTTACAATGGCCTGTGTTTCAAATTAAGAAAGTATTTTCATTTTCAAGCAATTAATACATATTTGAAAGCTTATATTTGATTTAACGTGTTTTAAGTTACATGCTTCACCTAGTAACTAGCCCAACTGGGACAAAGACCAGTATATGAAGAAGTCCTTAATTGGATGTAGCACTCATTGTCATCATATATTATTATATATGCATATTTATGTGCATGTTACATATATATGTATGTATGTCTGTGTAACCCTTCCTAATTAATCAATTGATTCATTATTTTGCAGCCTTACCCCTAAACAAAGCAGTGCACTATTTTTATCGTATGCACACAAATATAGCCTTGAATACAACAACAAACAACTTACTGTATTTACACTGAACGCATGTTCACACACATTATTCTTATTTATAGTAAAATCACTTTACATAAAATGTATATTTAAGTGCAGTGCTACAAAGGATAATGATAAATCCACAATGCTTTTAATTTTATTACAAAAGGTAACAGGTAATAATAATAATAATAATAATAATAATAATACATTATTGTTGTTGTTGTTGTTGTTGTTGTTGTGCTCAGATATGAAATTGGCTATAGTTATTTCTTAAAATATTATTTCCTTTAACGTGATATAAAATATACTGAAATTACAGTCAAGGGTTCTGGATGTACTTCAGTAGCTATTTCCTGTTTATGCTTTTGGATTTTATTGCATGCTGGTGTGAGTTTCTTTCCGAAGATGTAGCCTTATACAAATGGCTATAATAAATGCAGGCGTTCGCCTTAGGAATAACTGAGTCATGAAAGCAGACTCACAGCTTAAGTCATTCACCATTATAGCCAAGTCTGTCTCCATTGTCACTGTCATGAAGAAAAGCCACAGAGAATTTTCTCTTCCCTGCAAATCCTGGCAGCGTCTGACACATTGCTGTACACTGTCAGAGAACAGACGTGTTTGTAGCATTGCTTTCAAAGCCTTTATCGTTTAACAGAACCCATTTTAATGTTGCCTGTGCTGAGGATGCGTACGCTCCCTGGTATAACCGGCATCTCCTTTAAACAAAGAGACATGACCTCATTACTGAGTGACGGCTGAATTGTTACAGGGGTGTCCCACTTTCAGCTGTTAGCTACTGTATGGTAACCTTTGTAATGATCGGGAAGGACAGTGCCCATGGCGGAGAGCCATTATTGGCTCATAATATTGTAGGACAAAGTAAAACAATGAATTAAACCCGGAAAAAACATTGTCAGGGCAAATATACAGCTCTGGAAAAAAAAATTATAGACTACAGCATAATTTTCAGTTTAACTCATTTCTCAGCAGATAGGTATGCAGCTGTGTAAAATATAATTTTTTTTTGCAAACTGCAGCCTGGCTCCTCCCTGTTTCACATTGATGAAGGGCTTCTTCCTTGTTTTATGGGAATTCTGTCCTGCTTCTAGGAGCCTGATACGAACTGTCCTAGCAGTGCACTTCACACCACTGAATGTTTCCAATTCCTTTTGAAGGTCACTTGAGGTCATCCTCCGATTCATGAGGCACTGCCAGATAAGTCGACGGTCATGTCTGGCATGGGAAAGTTGCTTCTCAGTGTAGCCAATTAAACGAGGATTTAGAAATGCGGATATATATATATATATATATATATATATATATATATATATATATATATATATATATATATATATATATAAATTGTGTCATATATGAGAATATGAGGGAGGGACAGACAGAGAGAAAGAGAGACCTCTTAATTTTTTCCAGAGCTCTATGTACCTGTGGCACCAAACACTTATTTTATTTATTTATGTTTAGTTATATAACTTTCACCAGTTATGCCCTTTTGTAAGGTCCAACAGTCCACATGGCTGCTTGTTTGTTCCACTGTATGAACTAGATAGTTGACGATGGGTGTTTCTCCCAACCACTTTCTATTTGCATTTTAAATTTACTGTACTTTCAAATATCTTCATTGTTTCTATTTTTATTTTTCTGTTACTTTTAATTCCATTCCTTTGTTTTACTTGTTGTCTCTCCCTCTTTTTCTTTGTATCGTGCAGCGGGATCCGAGGAAACACATTTCGTTCATTTCGTTCACTGCTGCACAGTGTGTTGATGTATGGGAATGATAATGAAACATTTGAAATTGAATTGAATTATATGTACCTGATTTAGACACTGCACAAAGCAAAGCCTAAATGCATACAAAAACCCTGGCGCCTGGTTGTACTTTAGGGTGGGATTTGTTGACAAAATTAGAGTGATGGACGCCAGTGGATATTTTGGTTATATGTAAACAGGTTTGTACAAATATTTTTATTTTATTACAACTTTTATTTAGTAAGAAATGACAGTCACAGTCAGCATTTCAGTGCCTGGATTCCAGTTGTTCTAGGCGTGTCTGTTTATTGCAGTGATCTTTGCTTCTGTTTTCTGCGGTCTGTAAAAAGATGGGCTCAGATTTCTTACTAAATCGATTTGAGCAATCGGACACATGACAGCTCTTTCCCATTTTAGTTGTGTTCTGGCGGCATTCAAGCTGAACGCTAACGCTGCCACATATATAGTCTTTTTGCTACTCAGTGGGTGTAACTACAGTGATTTCGTCTACTGTGACATCATACGCCCATATTGTAACGCTGCAGAGGTATGAAAAGATGACTCAGCAACGAGTATGGATCGTGTATACCAGCCTTGTTGAGTTTCTGTTGATGTCTGGTATTACTTGAGCTTCATAAGTTATAATAAACACTAGATAATGGAAGATCACCATCAACTGCACCAACTGCAGTCGTGTCACTATTGCAAATATTTTTGACTGACAAAATGGCAGAGGCTTTGGAGATGATGTTGTCCCCTGGCACAGCAGGCCTGCTTAGAACATATCCCCCATGGATAGGGGGCGATTGCTATACTTATTTTTCTGTTGTCCACACAGGGGGATGATATTCTGGACAGAAGTTCAGAGTTGATTTACACGGGGGAGATGTCATGGATTTACCAACCGTATGGAAGGAGTCAACAGAGAGTCTTCTTCCTGTTTGATCATCAGATGGTTATGTGTAAAAAGGTGAGGTATATGTATTGGACGATATAACTCCAAGCTTACAATGCTTTTAAAAAAGCGGGAGGTAAATGAAATACGTCATATGAAGTCTTTCACTGAATCTGAAAATGGGTTAATTCAGAAGGAGAACAAAATTCAAAGAACAAGTTTACAAAACTCCTTATGTTAGTTCTAGAAAATTCTCGTAAGATTGGACTTCAGAGTAAATTTGCTAAAATTTGACACTCTTAACTGCCCGAAACTGAGTGACGTAGACTATAAGTTACTGACCATTTCTCACTCTTATAGCAAGACCTTATTAGTCTAGGGTGCATATAGGGTATTTATCTTTAAATGCTCGTCTCAGATTTGCCATTACCGTCACAAAAGGCACGTACAGTGTGATGTCTGTACACATTCCAAGAAGTTAGTTCAGCTTTTCTTAATAAAACTGCAAATTACTCGTCATCACTTACAGACATCGGTCACTCACTGTTGATCACATGCTGAGGATGAGGAGTGATCCCACGCTTTTCTTCCAAGCGCATCAGCTCTGGTTTCACACACCCTGTCAGTTTTTTAAGCATGTTCAATTCCTAGTGAATGCTTTTATAATTTAATCACTTTTTTAAAATATATTCTCAAGTGAATTTATTGATTTAGTTCATACATCTTACTAATGATGATTTTCTGTCTTTAACATCACCACATTGCTTGCACTAGTTCTATTACTGCAAGACCATTCTAAAATTAGAACACTAATTTAAAATGAGAGCACTCTTTGATCTGTGAACATAATCATATTAGCAGTCACAGCAAACAAGATCTCGTGAAAGGAGTACAGAGAGCATTGTGATTAAGGAGACAGAAATGGAACTTCAACATCACTAGTTGAAATTCCCTGAGGAGACTGGCTTTCATGCAGGGATAATGCTGAGACGATTAGAAGTTGAAGTTCCTGTTTGTTTGTTTGTTTGTTTACTTTTTGCAATGCATGTCTGCATCCATTCATCTCTGTCAATTAAGCTGCCAATCGATTCTGGCCTTCATTTTCTGGATCAGTGCACCGAGTGGCAGTTTGATAATCCTGCGCTACTTTCGCTTAAAATGTAAAATTGTTAAAGTCTCCACTTTAGCAAGTTGTGGTAGAGTATTGCCAGCACAATTTTTTGGCTTTCCATTCTCAAATTATTTAGAGTTTGGCTCTTGAAAATGTCTGTCAGATCAGTGGCTGAAAATAATTAGCTCATTATCTGATAAATTCAAAAGGCACAAATTGGCAGAATGAATAAAAGGAATTTACAGCTGCACTTTCTACTTAATTCTGTTTTAATCTAGTAGTTCTTTGAAGAATTTTGCTCTTTATTCAATTGATTGTTATGTGAGAGCATTCCATTCCGCATCCAAGGGAAAGCAAAAGCTTTGGGTTAAGCCATGAGGCTTCTTGCTTGAAAGCAGAACGTCAGAGATGTTAGTTAAATCAAGTCCGGAGTAACAATTTCATATATCCACAGGACTTGATACGCAGAGACATCCTGTACTACAAGGGGCGCATTGACATGGACAGGTATGAGGTAGTGGACACAGATGATGGCCGAGACGAGGACTTCAACGTCAGTGTCAAGAACGCCTTCAAGTTGGTGAACAGGGACGCAGAAGAGATCCATCTGTTCCTAGCCAAGAAGCTGGAGGAGAAGATCCGGTGGGTCAGAGCATTTCAAGAAGAGCGCAAAATGGTGCAAGAAGATGAAAAAATAGGTAGGGGCCTTTTGCTGAACATAGCCATCAAAGTTGTTATGATGGTGGATGGGTAGATGGATGGATGGATGGACGGATCAATAGATACCTGTAGATAGATAGATAGGTCAGTTGTATGAGTCAGTTTGTCTTTTCTGAGGGTTATATACTGTATAGATTATTTTAGTTATTGAAACAAGGAGTTTTTATTTCATATTTGAAAACTTTCTTTTAGTACCACACCGCCCCCTATTTTGCAGAATGAGATTTTGAAGCAGGGTAACATGTGCACTATTTTGGTCATAAGGGTGGCTTTTCCAACTCTGACTCTCTGGCTCTCAAATTTTAGGGTTTGAAATCTCGGAATATCAGAAGCGACAAGCGGCCTTGACAGTGAGGAAAGTCACCAAACAGAAAGGTGAGGCTTCAAAGAGACACCAGTTGATCCCTGAAAATTTTTTCTTTTGAACAAAGTTGTGAACTTTGACTGACATGCAGTTATGCACAGTTTCGATGTTATTTTTTAATCCTTTCGGTTTCGAAGTACTATGTATGTGCTTTTTCTCTTTTATTTAACAATTGAAGTCACAGGTGTAGAAATTCCCTGGTGAGAAAAACCTGAAATTGTTGTGTGAGTTTAATAAATTTTTCAGTCAAGCAAAAACCCAAATGATGGCATACGCTATGTATTTGGCCGGAATAATGTTGCACAAAAGGTGTGTTGTTCCATTTTACTTTATGTTCAGTTGAAAATACTGTGTCTATATAACGTTTGTGACATGGTGATGCTCACATTGGTTGCATACGCTTTTGTTTATTGTATGTTGGTTTGTGTATATGAATGTGAGCTTGCTGCATATATCAGATTAAAACTGGATGAAATATATTTGTGTAACTGGTTTTAAAAAGCTTGCTCTGTGCTTTATTTGTGTTTGCAGTTATATATGTAATGTTCCCACTACCAGTAATAAATATTCGCTTAACATAATTGACGATTAGTGTAGGACTTTTACACTTGAAAATTTTAATAGCAGCCTATGACTTGCATGAGCATTATATGTTTGTATAGTGTCTGAGTAACAGATTCCTCATTTTTTACATTATAGAAATTTGTCATAATGTGTTTGTAACCATTTGTGCATGGGTAACACAAGGTGAAGTATTCTTTTAAATTTCCAGATTCATTCTTAGATATCATCTTGAGAAAGATGGCGTTTTTATATCAACATGGTATGAAAATGATAAAGGTATATTTATTAGAGTCCTATGTAGCGTAATAATAACTATTCAAGATGCCATGGCAACTGCTGCAGGAAATCATTTTCAAACGCCAAAGCAAAGCATTCCCTTCATCTACCCATTATGTGGAAGAAACCACAGTGTGGTGGAATGAACCAGCAGACATAGTATGTTTTACTCTGGCTCTGAAAAATGTTAAAAATATCGTTGCTTTCATACCATTCAGGACCGAAAATTATTACGATATGGGTGTTTCTGTGGGAAACCGGTGAATGTTCTAAACAATAAAACAAACAAGTAGAAAATCCTTTAAGATGCCATGGCAACTTACTTTCTCATTCATTACAAAGGTTGTTTTTATGTAATTGAGTTTCTTTCGGTGTTAATGGATATCTTCAGTAGCAAAGTGGCGATTTCCAAATGCTCTCAAGAAATGCTGAAAAAGCAGCAGGTAACGCAGCAGTGTATCATGATGGTCTTTGTCGACACCTCTGTGACCTCTACCATGTTACTTCCATTTAATGAATTATTTAACTGTCTTCCATTGTCCAACATAAACAGACAAACTCCATAATCTATGTATCGTATCCCCGAGGTTGGAGGGTAGCTAAGGCGTCCAGCCCTGGTTGATACGATAGGGACGGTGTGCTTTATCGATTTGTCTGTTTCTCTGTCGTTTTGGCATGATAATTTTGTTCGATAAATTTCATTCGTTAATCAAAACATGACTGGCAACAGTCATATTTCCCGCCTCCTGCTCCCTCTTTCTTTTCTGGCTCACTTTCTGTTTTTCTGTCTGTTTCCCACATTCAGGTGTAAGCCAAAACCGGTCCATGCCACCTTCATATCCACCTCCCCTGGACCCCTTGAACCATGGACAGTATATGGTACCAGACGGCTTGGCAGAATCTCAAGTTTTTGAATTTAACGAACCCAAAAGGAGCCAGTCTCCATTCTGGCAGAATTTCAGCAGATTAACACCATTTAAAAAATAGAGAAGATTTAGATATTTTTAGAAAGACCACATTATTTTTTGAGAAGCACTATACTATAATAACTAATAATGGGTGTTAAAAAAAAATAGGGAAAGAAGGATCATTCGGAGTGATACTGATTGGTAACATCCACCTGACTTCACTGCTAAAACTGTCACTTGTACTACAGCTTCTGCGACAGATACTTCTGCTACAACTGCAGCACCAAATCCGTGGAACCCTTAAAAACAATAAAAAACAACAAACAAACAGAAAAAAAAACAAAAAAAACCTTTGACCAAAATAACTGCATTTCCCGTGTTCTTTGAGTTTTTTATGTTGTTAGGCTTTGCTTTTTGGGGATTGGAAGTACACATTTACCATTTTTTTCCTTTGGAATAAAAAACAAAAAAACAGACTCAACAAATGAATCTAACTGGAAGAAAAAAATATCTAATAGTTTCAACTGTTGTGCCATTTTGGGTGTACCCTTTAGTGCACTGTGATTTTGATGGGTAATTCTGGTTCCTTATATTGTCTTTCCTCTTGCACACAGTTTTTTGAGGTTGTTAGTAGTATCTTATGTAAAAGGGTGTTTTGGGACGAACAAAGCAAGACTTTGTCTGGCAAAAATTTTCAATGCGTATTCTTTATTCTTCCGTGTTCTTATGATAGATGCATGTAGAAATCATCCACCTGAAAATTCTGTGTAACATAAGGTTTCTTATGGGTCAAGGATCACACCAGTACAAGTAACAAATGTAACAAATGTTGTTGACAGGGTGTTTATTTATTTTTCCTAAAGACCAGAATGACTTTTGTTTTGCATGTCATAAAGGAAGTTCATAACAGAGATTATTCAGTTCTTTCCATTCAGTTTGAGTTACAAGTCTGCTGTCTAAATGAATCCTAAATAAGGGTTTTTAATGATATTGAATTTACTTGCTGTACCGTTTGTTGAATAGCTTCAGATCTCTAGTGAGATAAATCATAAAGCAGATATAGAGATTTAAGTCATAAAACACTCATAGTTAGAATCGGGCCTTAAGACACATTTGTTACTTTTCCTTCCTTTCTTTTGTATTTGAGAACGATGTTTGAATTGATGTTATTCAGAAATAACATACTTTGTCTGGAAAATGAATATTAAAAGCACCTGAAAGAGCGTCAGCGATGGATAAGATCATGAGGCAGGCAGTAACAGGGACCCGCTTTGACAGAGAACTGTAGGCGTCATTGGTGGGTTTAAGTACAAGCTGTGTTGGTGGGTATATCCCATGGTGCTTAGCTCCCCCTTCTTCATTACAGCTGTATTTTGATATATTCTGTCAACTGTCCCAACCCTGAACTGTCCTAAGTGGTCATCCACCCAGTTAAGCTCACATGTACATATAGCAGACTTTAAGCTGGTCCTGGAGAATAGTCAGAGGCAATAGGCAATAATTCTGCGAGCTGTATCTTCTACTGACAATAGATAATGGTATTAGGTGTGGCGTACTTGCTTGATAGATTTTTAAAGTGTCAAAAAATGGCAACGGGGTCAAAAGAATTATTTTTTTTTTTGTAAAACTGTTACAGTAGTCGGTGTCTTAGATGCAGCTCTGAGAGTAGAAATGAATGTACTGTTTGTAACCTGATAGAAGCAAACCCAGTACTGCAGTGGCTTTTGTGGGGAAATGAAGCCGTCGGTATTTTGGTGTTCTACACAATGATGCAACTGCCCTTCTCCAGTCCGTTATTTGCACTGACAAATCAGTATGTGAACAGTGTAACTCCACGTTATTTATTAACCTTTGTTAGCCTATACACTCTCTCTCTCTCTCTCTCTCTCTCTCTCACACACACACACACACATACACAAATACACATACTCATGCATAAGATTTGCACATGGTACACACTGTGTTTCAGCTGGTTTTTCAACAGGTGAAATGAGAGAAAAAATGTAAAAAGCTACTGATTTTGAAGCCGGTGTGGGTTTTGCTAACAGAACTTGGAAACCTGTTAGGAAATAACTGACCCTTTTTGTCAGAATAGAGTTTATAAGTAGACCTTCATGTCATGTTAAATGTGCCTTCTACCATTCCTCTGCTAATCCTTAATAGAATTATCCAGATATGAATAATTAACTCTCATGTTTGTTACATTTGTCTTATGCTTGTTGCTGTATTAAAATCATGATTTCAAACATTTCACCAATGCTGTAGCAAAATGGACAAAGTCACATTTCAGTTTGCCAAACCATTTTGTCCTGGTCTCTTTTTTTTGATATGTTACACATGGTTTGTGCAGTATCAATGTAATAATTTATTGCCGCCAGTTTTAGAAAAGTTTCGTTCATTGGACTGTTGAAGGATGGATCAGAGGATTGTGTTGGCTAGATGAAATTCAGAATATAAGAATTCCCAATTATTTCTTCCTCTTTTAACCTTTTTAAAGTTATTTTTGTTTTACTTGGTTACAGATTTCCTTTGTAAGTATAGTTTCGGCCTTGATTTCTTAAGTGCCAAAACACTGCCACACACCCAGCGGTTTGATGGAGCTTTAACTGTACATGTTGTTTACATCTATGCTTAGCAATCCAGAGCATTATGGGTATTTAAAACATGTCAATCTTTTTCCCAGAATCAGAATGAACAATAATTTAACATTAAACTAGCAGCTAAACCGTGTGTATATACTGTAAATATGACAGATCATATATTTAAATATTGATATTTTAAGTATGATACAGTTATTCTTTAAGTTATGTGCTAGGTTTTGATTTCTCGTGAACGCATGTGAATGGCATAAAATGTTCTGCATGACACAAGCAGCATTTTCTGATTTTACGTTCCATTCTGTTTTAATTGTGTTTATCTCATTGTTTTGTTCACTTGGTTGTTTAATAGGAAACACTGCTTTTGAATTGGATCCATTTGATTCACAGAAAGTTATTATTTAACAGTTTGTGCAGTTGTATTAATTTAAATTGTGCCATCTTAGGACTGTGACCCACCTCGGTTAAAGCGTAACCATTCGAAGTGTAACTAACCCAAAGAAAACCAGATCAGTCCAGGTTTCCCTTACTGGTATATGGGCATATAGCTATGTTTCCATATTCAGAACACTGGCACTTACCAATGTCTACAATGCTCCATCCGTCGACTGGGCATTTTCCGCTGTGACTCCAGGGGAAATGTCCAGTCATCATAAATTTTTAAATCCTTGTTTGAGTGTGAACTTGCAATATTATCCACTTCAAGGGAAAACCTTAGTTAAATGTAACTTTTAATGCTCTATGTAATTATACAAGTATTAAATGCTAGTTGTTCCTTTAGCACCAATTAGGTTTCTATCAGGGTATTTTAATATATTAAAAATAAGTGACTTGTACCTGATCTCAGCCCTTTGGTCAGTTGTTGTTAAATAACAAATAACACAGAACAAGTTTATTACTCACTTTCGAACGTAGTGTAAGGACTTTAAAAAAAATAGTCTTTTTTCACTTTTGATTTCACAAACCAGAGAAGAATTGGAGCTATTTGTGTTTGCATTTGTAGTTTGTAGTTCATAATTCAAACTACACATGTTTAGAATTCAAAATCTGAATTCCTACTGAAAACTAAATTGTGCTTCAAACTTTGAGTTTTATTTATGTCATTTATGTTTTTTCTGGATTTTTCTTGCCTTCGTCTCGTGTGCTAATACAGAATTCGAAAAGTCAAAATGCTACATGATTTGTATGGCTTTTAGCTGCAGTTGTAATGTAATGATTGTAAAACAAAGTGTCCTCTGTCCTAAATACACAGTTTGGAATTTCATGGAGCTTGAAACAGTACACTTGGCGATATCGCCACTACACCGTTTTCATTTTAACCTTAGATAACCATGCCATACAGACTGCACTTCCATTTGACAAACAGTTGTTATGTATAAACTTTTAGTACTGATTCTGAAATTTCTTTTTTCATTTTTTCCCCTTTGTTTCCCTTAAAATAAAACATGTGAAAAGCTCAGAAAACAATTATTAAAATCTTTAATTGTTGTTCTCCTTCATACGTATCATGTCTCTGTAATGGAAGAATGTAATGGAGTTACAATGTGCCATCAGTTGTATCTGGGGGAAAAAATTATCAATCATTTATCGACAAAAAGTTCCATTTCTTTTTCGAAAGGGTGCCTTCTTGCAGTCGTGAGGCAGATAGCCACTGCTACAGTAAGTGTAGGATAACCTTCCCATTACAGGGTTAATTTAACTGAAACTTAAGCATTTCATCATTGTCTTCTTCAAGGTTATTGTGGAGATGTAATGACATAAAATGTTTCCCTGAGGTTGGAATTACCATTGAATTGTCACAGTTTTATTTATTTATTTTTTTCTTTTTAACATTTACAATTTACATTGTAAGTACCACACTATTATTCAGTCATGATATTTCTCGTATAATCAGTTATTCTGTTTAGAATTAAGATATCCTTTTGGATATGTAGTATAATGACACATTTGGAGGGTGCAGGGTTTTTTTTGTCTTGAATGAGTGTGAAAACCAGTCAGTATGTATGTTGAAAAGCACAGTTGTCTCACAGACTCACACTTTCATGCGTGGTGAGATGTGCTTAGTGAAATAAAAGCCTTCCAACCCTCTGCTTGAGAATGTGAGGTCTGTCACATGCTAAAATTTAAAAACCAAATCAAGACCGCTGCAAATGTGTGTGTGTGTGCGCGCATGTGTGTGTGTGTGTCTGCGGTTTAGGTTTATATTACATTGTGGGGACCATTTTCAGGTCCCCACAAAAATCTGTGAATGCAATCAAAAAAGTACAAATGGAAAAAGTCTCGTATTTAGTTGACATTAGTTTTCTCCATAGAATTGAATGGAGAGGCCACACAAAGATATAATTACAAATCTATGTGTGTGTGGATTATGTTTATATTACATTGAAGGGACCAAATGTCCCCCATAATATGATAAAAACCTGTTATTTTGACATTGTGGGGACCATTTTTCAGGTCAAAGATTTGTGACTGAAATCAAAAAATTAAAAATGCCATAACTCTCATATTTTGTTTGTTACTCATGGTTAAGGTTAAGGTTAGGGCTGGATAGGGGTTAAGGTCGTCATGTTGGGATTAGCGTTTTCCCCATAGAAATGAATGAAGAGTCCCCACAAAGGTATAAATACAAACCTGTGTGTGTGTGTGGTGGTGGTGGTT